CAAAATTTTGAATGTCAATGTAGTAAACTTTCATTGTCAGTTTTTTTTACTTTATTAGGGAGCACGTGTATGCAAAGTGAAATTGATGATCATTTGAATAAAACGTCACTTGTGAACGTTACATGATCTGCAACTGCAAACTCGGCCAATAATAACCGGAATCGATAAACGTGAAATAATATTTAAAAAATAAATTAATAATTATGATAATTACTATTTAATATTAATGGGGAAAAAGATATTTATTATAATTAGTAACAGCAAGTTACGCAGGTTACAAACGCTAACTGCGGATACTTGTTACATGTCATTTGGTGGATGCGACACTTGGTGAATAGTTTGCATTGCTTGTCTCGTGGTTTTCAACGTATTGAATAATTAAAGCTTTTAACATATACACAGTAGGTAAGGTTAGGTAAAGAGCAATGTTTATTCAATGTTGTTTAATTAGCGCGTGTATGAAATAAAGACGATACAAACTAATTGTTGGTTAGTAATAAGAAATAGATTTATTGCTACGTAGCAGTTGTTTTCGTAATATTGGTATATTAAACAATTAACTATGAGCGATTAAAAATAAATACAATTGCTAAACTAGAACTTTAAATAATATGGTAAATAAATACTTGACTAAGACATGCTCTGTTAGAAATAAGACGCAAGACGTTATTGTTTGTTACCTGAGGAATGTGGAAGAAGAGGTTAAATTGCGTCGTTTACATAGCTGTAAAGGAGAGAAAGACACGCAATAAATTACAATATAAAACAATAATTTAAATTACAGAATATACACAAGCTAAAAATAGGCTGCTAAGGTTTGGCAGAACAAATGTATCTGTGATGTAAAGTTACTTATTGTGAGAACAAAGTTTGCGTACGAACAAAGTGTCGCACCATTCCAGTTAGTTGACGATGAAAAAACGTCAAACGCAACGTGGAGCAAACAACGTTTATCTGATTGTCGAACGTTATATGAAATGCAGCCGCAATGACTTGTATTATATTACTGTTAAAGTTGAACCAATAATTAATATTGCGTTGGTTTGCAATTAATGAAAAGGCAATGTAATCATGATGCATTGCATTACAAATAACGGAAATGCTGAGACATATTTCATTTGTTTTAAAGTTGTACGCCGAAATCAACGCAATATCAGTTTCGTTTGACCAAGATAATCGCAAAATTAGGACCAAACTCGTGTGTCTTTATTTTTCATGCTTATCTGATTATTTAATATTATTCAAGTTTGTTTTCATTTAGTAAGTATTAAACACAGATAGATCTCGTGTACTCTCATCTTTCGTGTTTGTTTAACGTCATTCAAACTTGCATTCATTTAGCAAGTATTAAAAATAGATAAGGTTTGGTGGCAGTACGCCGCCATTGTCATCAGTCATGACACAGATAATGTACTCGGTCAACAATTCCTTCATGCTGTCTTTTTTCTTTTCACTAAGAAATGTCAACGAATGTCTACGAAGCTTAACCTATGCCTTGACTAAACCTTGAATTATTAGAAGACACCAGTAGAATAATATTTAACAGTAAATATAATGTGCAAACCGTCTGGATTATGCAACACGTGTAATAAACTGTAAAGATGGTACATTCGAAACGCTGTTTTCAACTGAAAATATGGCTGGCGATCTTATACGTGCAAGTTGCGGTTTGTACTTATCTTACATATTTCCCCGCATTATTAATTTGGATAATCACCATATCAGGTATTATTTCACAAAGTTTTATTATTGTATTACACAAGCACGATTATCTTACATTGGTTGAGCTGACCAATTAAAACTTTTTAAACAATTAACGTTTTTTTGGTTTTGTACACTTACACAACAGACAAATAGGATCTACGTCACAGTCAATTTGTGCTCTGCAAAATGACAAGAACAAACGACAAATAACATTATCAAAAAATGACAGCGTTGATGACTGTGATAACAGACGGGAAGCAATTTAATGTTTTGAAAGGCTCGTATTACAAGAAAAAATGACTCTTATCAAGAATGTTATAGTCTAGTTCATTACGAACCGTCTCACAAACTAGCAATTTTTATTGACATAATGTGATAAGTACTTTTAATGTTAGGGTTTTGGACTGTCTATTTGATTGTTGTATTACATCGTTAATTTCCATTTAGAGACAACCCTGGTAAGAACCGGTCTGTTGTTTCAATAATATCAAATAGACAATAATAATACGAAACGGTTTCCGAATTAAATTCCACTACACTGTTTGTGTTACAAACTGTCACTTTTCAATCAATCACATCGTCAAGTTGAACCACGTTTTTCTACTCACAAGACTTTGCCAAATGTGGCCTTTTGGGAATCTTGTTGGGCGTTTAAAACTCTGCATATTACCCCTCCTGTTTACTAGTCTATGAGATCGCAACAGTACAAACCGTTATGGAAATGGGAGCGGAAATAGTTCACCCGTCTGTACTATTCACGCAGTGCATACCGTCAGAGTATGCGAAAAGCATCCGATGATACTTAAAAATGGGCCAAAGAACGGGAAAAATGTTATGCCATTGGATTGTCTGTTCTTAATCTGATAAAAATGATTCGAACGACCATGATAGGTTATGCATTTCAATTTGGTTTACTTTATTGGTACAGGGAGTGATCACATGCACGCACAGTGAAATAATGATCATTTAATTAAGATCGTCATTTAAGAATGTTCATGATCTGCAATAGTTTCGATGCTGTGCAACACGCCCGCAACTGATAAATTTAATCACAGAATAACCAAAGTCCATGAACTCGAGTTAATTTAATGCGCAGTTGATGCGTCGTTTACTTGTTGTTGGTGTGTTGTTGACTCGAATGCGATACGAATAAGCTTTCGCTGACGAAAGAACAAGGATGCTTCAACAACAGCAGCGTCAGTTAGAATTGAATTGATTCATTGACTGTATATTGCTATACAGTAAAAGACGAACGTTTTCTAGTCGACATCAATCTTAGACTTGAATCACGAATTTGACTTGAATTGGTCAAAATTGATTGCTATAAAGCGTAACACTTAATTAATTTAATTACGGATTTTGACCATAAAAGGGTGAAGAGCAATGAGTTTGATAAAAATAGGGATATACGGTATTTTTAGATTTCCACAAGGAAGTGTCGTTGAAGTTATTGTTGGGCGAAAAAAAGTTGTTTGAAAACCTGTTAAATTTGTTGTACAGTTTATTTCACAACCTGGTCATTTTCTGACAATGTGCTTCATATTGTATTTTTGTATTATAGTCAATGTCTTAATATAGTATCAAATTCAAAAGGTCACATTTCAAAATTGGAAATTGAATGACGATAAAAGATCGGCAAGTTGATACATTGTTAATCAATTAGACAATTTGGGTATTGTCTTTGTGTCCGCTCTCCATTCACATTTATATTAATTCAATTGTCAATAAACGTCCATTCAAATTTTGCTTTTACGGGAATAATACTTGGGAACGATACACCAGTGTTTCTTTGGTCCTGACGCACAAGAGTTGTCTCATGCCTAAATCATCCAACGCGGATTAATAAGTACAAATGATAAACACAGTTCTTGACTAAAAATACTTTAGTGCGTTTGCAAAATGGTAATCCATAGGGCGATCTTACACGTTGTGTAATATTCAATAATATTGGGCCCCCGCAGTACAAACCATCCATGTTAGGAACTTTCATACTAACGTTTCTTTGCCTTTTATTTGAGACATTGCAATTATTTTGAACAAGTTGATTACCTGTCTGTTTATTTGTTTACTTTTCTATTCTTTGTCAGATTGTGTTTTCGTTTGCCACTAAAAATGCAATCCATAAGCACATGATTCAACTATTTGCTCTTATGGACGTAGGACTAGTCTCTTTGCTATAATTAAAATCAACTAGTACTTGAATGTACAGCAATGTTTCAGATATCTACATAATCAGTAATATCAAACACAAGATGAGGTAATGATCTCTAAAAATAATTCATTATTCACGCTGTTGACAAGACTAAGGATAGAACGACAATTTAAAATAGTCTAATCACGTTGGCACGAGCAATAATTAATGCTATTGTTGATGCGCAAAGCCCCTTTCCCCAAAACTAACACTCGACAATTACAAATCCTAATCATTGAGAAAGAGAAGGGGTATGCGTAATACTTGCAGGTGCACAGTCACTGGTCATATTCTCACCCCTTTCCGTATGTTCTCGTACGTTCTTAATCCCGACCGTTACTACGTAGTCTGTCCGAACGTCCAACTTTTTTATTTATTAACATCAAATCACAATGTATTATATGACGTTTACTAAGGTATTGTGAAATAAATATTTTGTTGTTATAGTACTATAACCATTGCTGATCGAGATGCTATTTAGCTATTTAACATTATACGTTGCTTTCTTAGACCGAAATAGCTTTAATGACATGATATTCACATAAATTATTGTCTAGTTAATGACCATCGCTTAATAATAACTTTATACTTGTCTACGTAAGCTTCCAATTGAGGTAACAGATAAAACAAAATGCAAGAACAAATAAGGTTATTATGTATATCTGTATAACATATTATGTTTGGATTACACTGGTTTAATATTATTGCGGTAAACGGCGATAGACAAATTTCGATTTATAAATATAATCAAATATGGCAATTCAGAAATCTCGTTCAATGATATTTGTAAAAAAGAAATTGCACAAGATTCGGCAAATTTGCATTCGACAATTGGATCGATTTAAAGTTAATGCGCGCGCAAAATAATCAATATTTATTAATATACTGTACATCCGGATGTTAAATACGAGCAATTGTAGTAATTGCTAAAAAAATCACATTTCTAAACATAATTCAAATATCATGTTCTAAAATAGTAACAATAACAAAAGCTACTTTATGAATCAACACACCGTTGTTCAACTATAAAAAAAATGTACAGTCAAATTAATTAAAGTCATGTTATCTAAATTAATACAGCACTGAAAGAAAACTTTACTCACATTTAATATTCATAACAACAACAGTATGGGTCCCATCTCTTCTCTAGACCACGTTTCTGTGGTTCACATTGATCCCATCTTTTCTCATTGTCTCTCTTACTATTATTCTTGTAGACCTTGCAGTTATTATTCCAGCGGGCTTCCAAGTTGTTGTTGCGTTCGTCTAAGTCACGTTTCTTAGAGTTTTGATCATAGTAATAATAACAGCAGTAGTAATCGGGCTTGCCCCATCTCTTCTCCAATTCGTCATTTCGTTCAGCCAAATTTCTCTTGCTCGGTTGGTATTCTTCGCATTTGTTTTCCCAGCGCCGTTCAAGACCTCGTTTGTCACTCTTGTAGTAGTAGTAACAGCAATAGTAATAAGGTTGTTCCCATCGGGCTTCAAGGGAGGATTCTGGCGCGGGCAGCGCTTCGTTAAGTTGGACGAAGAAGAGAGCAATAAAGGCGATGAGCAACAATTGAGTATAGCGAGACATGATTATTCTTGATTCGGATTGTATTTGAAACAACGTAGTGTGCGTTGATGAGGAGCAAAGGGAAGGGCGGAAAGGGCTGTTTATATAACTGCGAAAACTGGATCGTTGCTATGTTGCAAGAGTATCGTTATTGTATATGTCCAATATCCGTAAATAGTAAATTTGTAGCACTGTCTCATATTTTTCTATATTGCCATAGACGCATGTAGAGAGTTTCCATACAACTTTTTTTTTAGAAGATTAGTCACTTAAAAATAGAAACATGTCACAACAGCACCGTTATCAAAACGCCTTTCTTGAGTATGAAAATTTCCATTGGGGGATACTTACGTCAATTTTTCTCACATATTTGATTATTTTTGTTCGCGTTGATTTTAGAAAATTTATTTTTAGTCTGTCTTTGTTTAGATAAGCTGATGATACTTGTTCGTAACAACTTCATACTCGATCCAACTTGCCTAAAAGATAACGACGCATTTGTGAATGAATGTTATTAATGGAATATGCATTATTGACTCTGGTATTTGCCTGTTTGTGCGTGTTTATACTCTATCAGTTCAATTTATAGCATTACAATATTATGCAACAGCAGTTAATTGGGTTGATATACTATTTAAAAAAGGCGATTATGGTATTATAGTAATTAGTTGAGATTACACTTTTTTCAACATCTTTTTGATTAAAGGCTGTGTGTTGGAATTGATATACGTTGTAACAAAAAAAGAAGCATATTTCAAAAATATCATCATCAAAGCGCCACCTTAATTATAGTATGCCAATTTCATTGAGAACGTTAAGATAACGTTCTGTCACAGATTCGATTCTTTTCGTTCGCGCTGGCTTTATTTTTAAGATTGCCTTGTTTAGAAAAAAGCTGAATACTCGCTCGCTCGTGACACCTTCATTCTCAGTGGATCTTACTTAAAAAGCAATGGTGCATTCATCAGGTGAATGTGATCAACAGTGTTTGTCTGTATGTGTTCTACCAATAGATTACCACGTTGGCAATTGACATATTATGCAACATGCAGTTTAATTGAGACCGACGGAAAAATAAAGGCTTGGCGTTATCATAATCGTTGGTATCACACGTTTGTTATACGTAATCGTGAAAATTTTTTAAAATAGCGTTAAAATCAAAATTTTAATTTATATATATATAATACGTTCTACTTTGATCTCGGTTTCATTTTTAAGGTTGCCTCATTTAGACAAGGAAAGACCTGTTCGTAACAACTTCATACTCAATTTACTTGCCTAAAAGGTAACGATGCATTTATAAGATAAATGTAATCAACGCCAGTCAGTGTTGCAACCATTGTCTGTTATGCGTGTTTATACTCTGTTAGTCTAGACTATAGCATTGCGATTGAACTCTATACCATGCAACTGCAGGTGATTGAATCGACATACTAATTCGAAAAAGTGATAATGACATTATAATCAAAGGCTTTGTAATTGGATATGCGCTGTTAACAAAAAAATAGAAAACACGTGTTATCAAAGCGTAATTTGATTGCAGTATGAGAATTTCTATTTGAGGATAACATTGCAGATGGGAGATACTTTGTTTGCGTAGATTTATTTTTAGTGATAGCCTTGTTTAGAGAAGCTGGATATCAATAACGAAACGAGACTTGTCTAAAAAGATAATCTTTTTTTAGGTAAGTACAATCAATAA